AAGGGCCCCTGTTCACTTTTTAAATGATCAAATCTTAATTTGTGTGTTGGTGTAAACGTGCCGTCATCAGCTCTTTTTCCCTTTGTGTGTCTGTTTGAAACAGGGTTTCACAGTGTGGCCCTGGCCTTGAACTCTGCCTCCTGAGTGCTGGGATTAAGGCTTGTGCCACCACCACTTGGCAGCTGGCAGCTTTTTTTTTAATGATTTATTAATTTGCATTTTATGTATTTTCTGTGTTTTGCCTGCTTGTGTGTCGATGTGAGGGTGTTAGATTCCCTGGAACAGGAGTTATATAGACAGTTGTGAGCTGAACTCTGGTCCTCTGAGAGAGCAGCCATCTCTCCAGAGCGGGAGCTCCTTTTTTTCCCTCCTTTCTGTTAAGCCTCTGCCTGCCTAGGATTAAGGTGTGTCAGCAGGATTCTGGCTGGCAGGAGGACCTGGCTCTGGTGTCTGCCTCACCATGCTGTTCCTTTTGTTCCTTTGTTGTGCTCCTGCTTGATGACTCTGCTGCCTGCCATGTAGTGAGGCCTCTGTACATTACAAAGGTAGTAGAGCCGAGTGGTGGTGGCGCACGCACTCGAGAGGCAGAGGCAGGTGGATCTCTGAGTTCGAGGCCAGCCTGGTCTACAATAGCTAGTTCCAGGACAGGAACCAAAAGCTATGGAGAAACCCTGTCTCGAAAATCCAAAAAAAAAAAAAGAAAGAAAGAAAGTAGTAAAGCTTGGTTCCCTCTTGAGGTTTTTGTGTTTTGTTTTGTTTTTTTTTTGTTAATTCGTTTTTATTTTATGCACATTGGTATTTTGCCATGGGTGTTTGGTTCCCTGGAAGCGGAATTAAAGACAGTTGTGAGCTGTCACATGGGTACTGGGAATTGAATTCAGGTCCTCAAGAGCTTTTAACCACTGAGCCATCTCTCCAGCCCCAGTCCTTTACTAATTAAGGGCAGGCTGGCCTATGGCAGCAATGTCAGAAAACCTCTTTAGAGAATTCCCTGAGCTCTAGGGGCAGGGCTCAGCTTCTGTCCTTCTCACTAGAGTCCACTTTGCACCTGGTGCTTCGTCTGCGTGGTGGCATCATCGAGCCGTCCCTTCGTCAGCTTGCCCAGAAGTACAACTGTGACAAGATGATCTGCCGCAAGTGCTATGCACGCCTGCACCCCCGTGCAGTCAACTGCCGCAAGAAGAAGTGCGGCCACACCAACAACCTGCGCCCCAAGAAGAAGGTCAAATAAAGCCAGGGCATTAACTGGCCCATGACCCTGGGACCAAATAAAGTCCCCTTCCATCGACTGGAGCAGTAACTGGTGTCCAAGTGACTGTTGTGTTCAGGGAGGGCTGGGAAGGGTATCCGTGTAGCCCAGGCTGCTCTGCAACCTGCCAGTCACAGGCATGTGGGGATGCCACACACAACTGGTAGCATGTGGGTTTACACGTGTGCACCTGAACTGCTGGCCTCTGGTATGGCCATGAGCGCTGCTTCTGGGCTGGACAGGTGCGCACACAGGACTGTGGATGGAGGTTCTGCAGCTAGTGTGGAAACCACAGCTGAGGAGGCTTTCAAAGTGGAGCCCATGCCTGGGACCCCATTCTGTCCTCATGTCTACAGTCTCTGCTGGGATGTGTGGAAAGTTGGCTCACGCGACCCAGTGTTCATATGCCAGTTGTAGGTCCTGAACCTATCGCCTTCCCTCTGTAGGGAGGGAGTACCTGGGATCATCAGCCCTCTCCAGTTGCAGTGCACGCCTTAGTTGTGCGGCCCTAAGGCTGGCTGGCCCGTCTTTAGGAGACCATCAGTGTTGCTGGGGTTTCTTACGGTCTCCACTTTCATTGGTTAAATTGGCTATTTTAATCATGGCATTTGAAGGGTTCCATGGGTTAGAGCCTGGTGCCCCCATATATGCATCAACCATCACTGATGCTTTTTTGTGAAGACCTCCTCTGCCCCAGGCAGAGTCTTTGCACAGACACAGTTCGCACACAGTAGGACCAGCTGTATTCTAAAGGTTTATCTGGATTTTTTGTGTGTGTTGTGTTGTATGCCTGGTACCCCATGAGATCAGAAACACACTGAACTTAAGTTACAGATGTGTGGGTTCTGGCTTTCAGTCCAGTCCTGGAAAACCGCTACTCTTAGGTGTACACGTCTTTACTACCACCCCCTGCAGAACTCCAGTGACCTTGTTTGACCTAGGCTTGTGGTGAGGGTTGGCTGAGGCACGTAGTTACAGAACTACGTGAAGCAGTCAGGTGCGCGCGCAATGGTCCTGGGCCTCCCGGTCGGCAGGGGGAGCTGCAGTCATTCCCAAGTGCAGCCGGATTGTACAGTCATGCTCACCGCCGCTGCGGAGGTGCCGCCTGCTCCTGACGCCCCCGGATCTGCGGAGCCGCAGTGGGCCTGGGTGAGCCCAGGCGTGGGCAGGATGGTCGGGGGGGGGGGGACTTAGAGATGGGCTCGGAGATCCGTCTTCATAGCCCCACGCCTTTGTAGAGAGACGCCCCGATCGCTACGTTGGTATGGAGGATCCAGCAGCTGCAGGATGAACGCGCGCAAGCCTTCCGCCGCCTAGACCAGTGAGCCGGCAGGCTGGAGGAGGGGCGGGGCCTGAGGGAGTTTGCTAGAGTGGGACTCAGGACCGAGTTGGTTGTAGGACGTGGGGAGGCGGCGGGGGTCTGGTTCGGGAGTACTCAGAGGCGCGCTCTAGGCCGGGAGCCAGGCAGAGCCGTCAGTGGGTGGCTCTGAAATCTCAGACCAGGAGGGCTGGGGGTGTGGCCGGGACAAGCAAGGCAGAGCAGAAAGTGACTGTGGGCGTGGCCTGGTAGAAGCGGGGTGTGGCCCTGGGGGCGTGACCCTCAGCCAGAGCCCCTCTCTTCTGGAGTGCAGAAATGAGCCAGCTCTCGGCTCTCCAGTATGTGGGGTTCAGGTTTTGCTTTTTCGAGTTGGGTGGATCTTCCAGGTGGCTGGGACAAGGGGAGTGCTCTGTGAGTCAGCATCTTCCCCGCCCGCCGCAGAGCTCACCGCCAGTACATGCTCAGCGGCCAGCACCACGACTTCCCGCTTTATCGGAATGTCGTGCACGAGGTGACCCAGGTCTTCGCCGCAGCCTCACGGGAAGTACTTGCGGTGGAAGCGGAACTAGCGGGACCTCGCGCGCAGCCAGTGCTTGCTCGCCACGTGCGCAACCTGCAGGAGCTGGAACAGACGCGCCTGGCCACGGTAAGACCACCTCTTACCTTCGGGGCCGGGAATGGGCCACCACAACCACTACCTCTACACATGCTACACACCTCAGAGCATTTGGTCCCTCACCCGCTGTCGCCTGTCTGCCTACAGTTCCCTCCCAGATTCTGCTTAATTATTCCAGTCCCTTTTGGCTGGAGAGATGACTGCTCTTCGTGAGTTCAATTCCCAGTATCCACATGGTGACTCACAACCATCTGTAATGAGATCTGGTGTCCTCTTCTGGCCTGCAGGGATTCATGCAGGCAGAACATTCTATACATAATAAGTTTTAAAAAAAATTCCAGGTCATCTGGAAAGCTCTCTCAAGAACCCAGTGGCTCCAATGCCCTGCCCTCTGTGTCTGTTTCTCTCACCTCTGAGTTATCACTGTTTGAACCCACAAGCTACATCCTCCACAAATACACTCAGACACAACTTCCTAGCTCCTTGACCAGATCCCAAGGCTACACCTACCATGACTTTAAAGCCAATCCTAGTGGGGAAGGGGATCACCACACTCACATTGCTCTTTGGTCTGGGATTCATAGTACAGAACCCCAAACCCTGCCTTGAGCCCCACCTACCATACCTGCCGTCCATCCCTGGCTTTCCCAAGATATGTCAATATCTGTACTGCCCTTCCACAGGAGAGCCCTAAAAGCAACCCAGAGCCCCCACACGCTCAAGCTCCACTGTCCCAGGCTCCACTCTTCTGCCTTCTGTCATGATCAATGTGGCTTTTGTCTTGTGACTCCCATTTTCTCCTCCAGGTGGCGCTGCTGCAGGTGATGGGGACACCGGGAGTGTCAGAACAGGGGGACCCTGAAAAGTTGCGCCAGCTGAGAATAAAGTGAGCCTTGTGGGCCTCTTATCCCAACCCTTAGATTAGCACCACATGGCCGTGGTCACCCCAGTGGAGCCTTGTGAGCCTCTTATCCTAACCCCTAGATTAGCACTACACGGCGTGGTCACCCCAGTGCTGACCCACCCAATCGCAGAGGGCACTCTGATGGTGTCCTAGAAGCATTCGTCTGAAGTTTCTGCTGCTTTCAGGAGTTTGAACATGGTCTCAGTCACGCTTGCTCCCCTGTGTGAGCCCCTGCAGTTCTATCCCAGGTCTACAAACACAGCAGGCATGCACATACATCCCAATCTCCTGGTGACAAGCGCCCCCCCCCTCAGCCTTTCCCATGAGCCCACTGTAACCCACCAAGCCAATCCGCCTCCCAGGCATGCTCCCAGGCCGGCTTGAGGTTTGGCGGCAGGCTGGAGGGCTCGGGGCTTGCCATAGTCCCCCTCCCCGCTAGCTGTGCGGCTTGGCTAATTCACCCCATCTGGGTTTTATTTATAGTTTCCATCCGCTCTTGTAGGGTAATTAAAACCATGGAGGCGATCAGCGAGGTTCTGCAGGAACTCAGGTTTGATGCCGAATCTGCAGAGTGAGGGCGGCTCCCAAGGGACCCGAGGAAGATGGGAAAAGAGGCCCATGGCGTCTAGCGCAGCCCTGACCGCCAGCTGGCTGGGGTCGAGCCCCGCCGGGCTGCCCTCCAGTGCGCCTCACAAAATAAAAGAACCTCTCCCTCTGCAGCTTTCCCATCAGCTCTGTATGTGGGGTGTGGGGTCCAGCGTTCTGGGGGGTGTTCCCCAGGGGAACAGAGAGAGCAGGTGGAAGACATGCATACCCCCAAGGAATTTAGGACAGGTATTCTGTGTCCTGGAAAACAGCACTGGTTTGGAGGTGGAGGGTGTCCCAATCCCCTAGAAAACACAAGCCTCAAACACACCATCAAAGGACCTGGTTTATTTAAAGAGATTCTTGGAGAACCCTGGGTAACCAAAATTCTTACTCCAACCCCACCCACATGGGGTACACCCAAGGTTGACCATCATGCAGACCAAATCTGTGACTGTGGGAGTTCACTGCGCCTACCCCAGCCCCTGGTGGTGTTTCTCCGGTTCCCCCAAAGTGACAGTACTGAGTGAGGCGAGCCTCCCGGTCTGCATGTGGCAGGAGAATGGCCTGTCCTTAGAGTTTATCCGGCAGGACCTGAGAGCAGAAGAGAGGCGACCTAAGTCTTTATCACTCTGCACCTTGGGGATCATGCAGTGAAGCACTTGGCCAGAAGCTAGCACGCAGTAGGTGCTCACACGTGCTAAGAGAGTGAGAAGAAAACTCCCATTTGAGCAGCCCGAGGGCGGGAAGGCCTCTTCTAGACTGCCCACCCACCAGGACCTCCTTACCTCTCGCCGCGCCCCGTCTGCCCGAGGGCAGGATCCCCTCGTCCTGTGCTTCGAAAGAAGAGCACAGTGTCATGGAGGCTGCACACTCAACTCCCGCACTCCCAAGCGAGCCTTCCCCACTTTCCTACCTGGTTTCGAGTCTTGTGTGACTTTTGCATCCAAGCACGCCACTGGTCGTACAGGCGGAAGCTGAGGTTCGAACAGTACGCGTGCTTCTTGAGCCAACCGAGGAACTGCTTGAGCTCGCGCCGCACCGGGCCCGAGCTGGGCTCGCCGCCCCGCGGCTCGCACACCCCGCCGCCCGGGCCCGGGCGCTCTAAAGAGAGTGAAGCGGCAGTGTCGGGGCGCGGCCGGCAGGGGGCGCACGCGGACGGAACCGCGAGCTCCCAGACCAGAACGCAGCAGCGGGAAAGTTGGGAAGGGTCAGGTGTGGACCCGGGCGTCATCCAGTCGGATGGCGCTGCCTCAGCGATGCAAACGGACAAGGAGGATCAAGTTAGTTGGAAGCAAAACCGGGTATTCGGTCGGAAATGAAAAAAAGAAATGGAAACTTGGTGGGGTTAGACCAGGACAGAAGGAGAAGGTAAAGGTCCCGGGCGGTCCACAGTCACTGGGAGAGAGAGCCCCAAGCGTCACGCCAGCACTTGGTAGGCTGAAGCATGATTACTGCGAGGTCAAACCCAGTTTAGGTTACCTGTGACTACTGAGAGATAGGGGGAGGGGGGGCCGCCGGCGGGATGGCTCAGTTGGTGATTGCGTTTGCCACCAGCTTTGGTCCCATACGGTGGGAAGAGCCTACTCACAGAAGTTCCCCGATCTTGTGTGCTGTGGCACGCAGGCTCACGAAGGCACACACATCGTACAAAAACAATTTTAAAAGTTGTTTAATCATACGAAAATGTAAAAAAAAAAAAAAAAAGGCTCTGGGAAAGTGGGTGACAGAGATTGAGGGAGACAGGCAGTAAGCACAGCCCAAGGGGCGGGTCCCCAAGATAAACCTGAGAAAATGATCGGTACGACAAGGAGTGGGCTGGGAGGGCCAGGTGGAGGCCGGCCCCTGGGTCCAACCCTCAGGCACAGCCATCTCCCCCTCCCCCCACAGGCCAGCGGATAAGGACATCGACTTCACGTCATAAATAAAACTGGGGACTCGCTGACAGGCCCTGGCACGGCCTCGGCCCCCACAGCCCCTGCCTGCGCCCCCCCCCCCGGCGCGCACCCTACCCCCGCCTCCCCAGTCTCCCAGGCGGACACAGCCGCCTCCTGGCTCCCGTGCAAGATTCGCAGGTGCTGGGCACGAGCAAGGGCCAAAGCTCCAAGGCTCCAGCCCCTCCCGACTCCATTCACTCCCGCCCAGCCCAGAACCTGGAGGGGCCCGGATGGGGGCTGGAGAGCTTGCTGGAGCTGGTTCTGACCCTCTTCCTCTAGGACTTTTTCCAGGACTCAGTTTCCCCATTATATCACCATCATGAAACTGAGTATATGTCTAAGTGAGTTCAGGTTTTCAGTGTCGTTTTGTGAAAAAAAAAATTCATTCTCTCTCTTGGGGGACCCATAAAAGAGGGCGGGGGATGGGAGCCGCCTCTACTGCCTGCAAATACTAACTGGGGAGCCTTGGACACAGATAGGGATACCAGACATTTCAGTAAACATGTTTCATAGACAGGAATACATGTCCAGGGGCCATAAAGTCTGCAGGGAAGTCATCTTCAGGCAGGGACTCAAAAGTGGGGGGGCTCATGCCTGGTTTCTGAGCACTCAGGAGGCCGAGGCAAGAAGATTCCAAATATTATGGCAGCCAAGGCTACTTTATAGCAAGGGTGGGAGGGGTGGCTCAAAAATAGAACCCCCCCACGTGAGAGACATAGGCACGGTGGTCTATCAATGTGGGACCATGAAATAACTGGCTATAATGTTCTATTTTCTATAAAGTTAACTTTTCCAGAGACTCTAGGATATTCGGGTAAGAACAACCTGTTTTTGATCTAGGGCACGCTTTTGTTCCCCACCTCTCACCAAGTGACAGGCTAAAGAGAATCCGGACCACAAGTGTGACATGGCTGAGTGTGATGGTAGTTGCCTCGCATCCCAGCACACTGTCTGGAAGCAGGGACAGGAAGATGGGGAGTTCGAGGTCATTCTTGGCTACATAGTGAGTTCAAGGCCAGCCTGGGCTACCTGAGACCCTGTCTCAAAATGGATTGGGGTTCCCGCGGGGCCAGCAAGCCCTAGAAATGTGCTCACCACTTCGAGGGGTGGAAGCAGCGGTGGGGTGGCTCCACTCACTCCAGATTCCCGCCTTTTTCGACCCGTAGATCCCGAATGGGTTACAACGCACTTGGACAAAGTATACAGTGCCGGGCTTCAGGCCCGCGAGGCGGCAGGAGGTCTGGTTGCTGACGTCATCCACCACCTGCACGGTGAAGGAAGAGTCAGATGCGGAGGGCGGGGTCAGGGGCGGGTCCGGGACGGGACGGGCACCTTCCAGTCCACGCTGTCCTCGACGCGGTAGCGGATCTGGTACTTGGCTTGGAAGAGGAAGTCCTTGAGAGCAGGTGGTGAGACCCAGCGGACGCTCAGCTGGTCCTCCAGGCCCCCAACACGGCTCACGTGCACGTCCGGTGGGGGGTCCGTGGTCACTGGGGGCGGAGCAGGCCTGGTCACTGGAGATGCCTTTTTTGTTGTTGGTTTTAAGAAATGGTTTCACTGTGTAGTCCTGGCTGTCCTGGAGCTCTCTATGTGGATCAGGCTGGCCTTGAACTCACAGAGATCTTTCTCTGCCTCCGCAAATGCTAGGATTAGAGGCTTGCAACAGTGGGCCCAGTCCTGAGGACTATGCTTGGTGATATTTGTCCAGAGACAAATCCTCCCAGTGGTGTGATCCAGGGACACCAGACCTGCCTACTCACCAGAGCCTGATAGACCACTGCCACTTACATCCTGGAAACAGCCAACAGCAGTTAATGTGAGCTGAAAACACTGTGACTGTCTCTGATAGAAGATACACAATCCTATCCTCAGGGGCACAGAACAGCAACCTGTCCAGCTGGGGCCAGAGTTTAGCGGCAGAGGTGTTTCTAAAAAGGAGTGAGCATCGCCCTGCACCTGAGCATCGCCCTGCACCTGTGAGCATCTTCCAGCACCTGTGAGCATCTCCCTGCACCTGTGAGCATCTCCCTGCACCTGTGAACATTGCCCAGCACCTGTGAGGCCATGCGTTTTATTCCAAGTCACTAGCTGCTATACGGCTACTGTCTATGTTTTGAGCCAGGGTCTCACTATATAGCCCAGGCTGACCTCAACAACTGTGATCTTCCTATCTAGGCCTCCTGAGCACCAGGACAACATGTGTTATCATATTTCACCCCACCTTATGCCTACTGTTACCCTTCACATTACCAAGAGCCTCAGTGGGGCAGTTCTCCCAGCTACAGGCACAACCGAGGGACAGATGGCACTTTAGGATGCCAAGAAGAGACAGGTGAATGGGGGGTGTGGGGACAAGTCAGGAACACCCAGGAACCCTACTGGGGGACCATGGAGAAGTACAGGCTGATCTCTCCCCGAGTCTTCAGCGAGGCACTGAAAGGGTTAAATGGCCCAGGCTGCTCTGGGCTGGGAACACCCTAATTAGATTAGGCCCAATTCTGCTCAGGGATCATCCACTTCCTGCCTCCCACCCTCACCCCCCATCTCCAGGCCTCGGCTTCCTGGGGCGCCTCCCGACCTGGGCGCCCTCTCCTGGATCCCCCAGGACTCCCTCTTGAACACCTGGGCTGCTGAGGGGGAGAGTAATCAGGCCAGGTGTTTTCTGCAGAGTTGGGGATCTTAACTGTCTGGAGTGGGGGCAGGTCTTTGCAATGAATTGTGAAACCCACCGTCCTGCAACTACCATGGGGGTCAGACCCCTAAATGAATCAACAAGGCTGGGGGAAGGCCCGTATTGAACTGCGGCAGAAAGCCAGGTGACACTGGGGGCTCACCCACGTCCAGGACGTCCAGTGTGAGAACATCAGATCGCGCTGAGCCCAGACGATTGGTGGCTTCCACCCAGATTTCATACGGGGTGAAGAGGGCCAGGTCTTTTGGGATGTGGCAGGAGTGAGGGCCCACAGTGTGGTACTCCTCACAGGTATTGTCCTGACCGTACCACCTGTGGAGAAGGGAGAGTCCCTTTTTAGTTCTTGGACCTGGCTTCTTCAGCCCCAAGGGTTCAACAGGAACATATTTGATCAGAGAAGGCAAGTATTTGCCTGAAGTCACACAGCTTGCTGGGCTGGGCACCAACCTCAGCTTGTACTTGAGAGAGTAGTTGGTGTGTAGGAACGTCTCCCCGTGTGCGCCCGGGGTCCAGCGGCAAGTGAGGTCCTTCATGTTCCGGGACCAGCAGCTGATGTTGAAAGGCTTCTCGGGGGGAACTGCGAGAAAACTGACAGCTTCTCAGAAGCAGCTAGGAGCACACAGAAGGGTGGGGTCCCAGCTGTGCCCAGAGCTCCAGTGCCTGGCCTGGGTGTGGCCATGCCTGTATGCAAGCTCATGTTCAACCCAGCCTGCCTTGGCCCCCTTCCCACAACAGAAGACCCATGCGCTACTCCCCAAGACCTGGGTGTCCTGGGTCCCCACTTACGGCCAACATAGAGGCAGGAGCCAGCCAGAATGCTGCCGTCCCGGGCATGACACACCAGGTTGTCTCCGGACTGTTGCCTGGACCCGTTGAGGTTGGCCAGGGCCAGGGCCAGGGTGGAGGTGTTGAGGAGGTGGGACAGCTCCGAGGGCAGGCGGCGCCCATTGAGGGTCCAGTAGAGACCCTCAGCACTGGCCCCAGGTGTATCTCCGTGTATCGAACAAGTAGCTTGCAGGGAGGAACCAATGAGAAGAGTGGGATCCTGGGGGCTGATCACAGCTGTGTCTGGGGTCAAAAAGAGACACCTTTGTCAGGCATGGGATGGACCAACCACAAGTCCCTCAACTAGGGATCAGGAATTCTTGAGGTGGTGCTAATAGTTACCCATTTTACAGATAAACAGAAGAAAGGAGGGAGGCCTAGGTGCCCATTGCAGCCAAGGCAATGAAGTCAAGACCAAAGCCAGCTCTGAGATGCCACAGCCCAGCACCTTCCCAGTCCAGCCAAGAGAGGTGCCAATTGCCCATCACTGCAGCTCTTGGAGGTGAAGGCAGGAGAATCAGAAGTTCAAGATAGCTCTTGGGTTCACAGTGAGTTTGTGCCCACTAGAGCGTCAGAAGACCCTATCTCAAAAATCAATCTACCAATCAATCAGGGGTCAGTGAAAAGGCTCAGTGGGTACAGGTGATTGCTGCTAAGCCTGAGGACCTGAGTTTGAAGCTGGAGCTTATATTGTAGAGGAAGAGAACCATCCCCCAAGTTGTCCTCGGGTTTTTATATGCTGCGACATATACACAAGCACGAAACATTTTGGGATTTTTTTGGGGGGAGGGCAAGAACAGGGTTTCACTGTGCATTGTAGGCTGGTCTGAAACTAGAACTCACTATGTAGAGCAGGCTAGCTTTGAACTCACGGACGTCTGTCCTGAGCTCTGTGCCTGGCTCAGGTCCCAGCACACGTGCTGAAGCTGTGGCAAACCCAATCCTCTGTGTTCTGGGGCAGCCATGAGAGAAGGGACCACCATAGAAGCCCACATGTGAGGCCTCCACCACTCAGCCTCTGTATCCTGAGTGTTAGGGTTAAAAGTGGGTACTTTTGCAGGTCAGCGATGGCACACACCTTTAATCCCAGCACTCAGGAGGCAGAGACAGGCAGATCTCTGAGTTCAAGGCCAGCCTGGTCTACAGAGAGAGCTCCAGGACAGACGGAGAAACCCTGTCTTGAAAAAAAAAAAAAAAACAAAAACAAATAATGAACTTCAATGCCAAGATGTCAAAATAAATAAATTGAAAAAAAGTTAGTCATAAATGCCTACTCAGAGCTGCATCGTTTCTATTAATCCATGACAACCCCTTGTGTGTGTGCAGTGGCTTCCACGTGCAGCCACAGGGATGAAAGGCACTCCTGTCAGGCAAACGCCTTTCCCTCTGAGCCCTGTCACCAGCCCACAAGATTCTTTTCTCTCTTTCTTTTGGAGACAAGGCCTTACTGTGCACACTACACTGTCTTGAAAGTTTCCATTCTCCTCATCTTCCTGCCTCAGCCTCCAGAATTCTGGGGTCACATGAACACCCACGTGTGGCCTGTCCCTTCCTCCTCGCTCCTTTCTCTGAAACCCTAACCTCACATATGTGGCAGTGGAAAGCGGGCATGTCTAAACAGGAAAGCCCTACTCTGGCAAGTGTCAGGGGATCACAAATCTACAGCTAGTACACGCCACCTATGCTATGCTGCAGAGTGAGACCTTGTCTCACTGGAGTAGAGGTGAGCTGGGCAACCCTCGAGGGGCAAGCTCTGTGCCTGGCTCAGGTCCCAGCACACGTGCTGAAGCTGTGGCAAACCCAATCCTCTGTGTTCTGGGGCAGCCATGAGAGAAGGGACCACCATAGAAGCCCACATGTGAGGCCTCCACCACTCAGCCAGTCACTGCACTGGAGCTGGCCCACCCCCACTCCCCACACCTCCCACCTCTCCTCTTTCCAGTCTTCCTAATCCAGAAAGCAGAGACTCACTCCCCAGGGCCACTGTGATGCCACTTGGGAAGTGACCTCAACCATGTTGTAACCAACCCTGAGACCCCCATCCTGCCTACCCTCCCTTGGGGAGAACCCTAGCTCGCCTACTTATAGGCTGAGACCTCAGCAAGAAGAGCAAAACCTCGGGGATGGAAAGGGGAAACATAATAAGCCCCTCTGACTCAGTTTCCCCACCTACCAGTGGCCATCCTGATCACAAATCAACCACACAAAATGGTTGGAGGCCTGTGGGACGTTTCCCAGGGAGCCTCGAGGCTCATAAGCCAGGCTGTGCTATGGTTCAAACATTCCCAATTTGTCTGGAAACCTAACTTCATTTGCTTCTGATAACTCTCCTTCACCCAGGATGGGCAGACTCAAGCTTCATTCATTCATTCATTCAGAGCCTGCAGTGTGCCAAGAACTGAGGTCACCTTGGGAATAAAGATACAACAAAACGCTTGTCTTTGCTGGGTGTGGTGGCTGTACCTTTCATCCCAGCAGAGGCAGGCAATCTCTTGAGTTTAAGGCCAGCCTGGTCTATAGAGCGAGTTCTGGGACAGCAAGGGCTACACAGAGAAACCTTGTCTTGAAAAACTCAAAAGTTAATATTAATAAAATCACACACACACACAAAAACAAAACAAAACAGGGGAGGAAGGAGAAAACCTAAAAGTGAGCTGGGGCTGTAGCCTTGTGTGCTTGAGGCCCTGGGACCAGAGAGAACCAAGAGACAAAAGTGGGTGAGTCACAGTTCGGCAAGGAGGCTTGAGTGTGCAAAGGCCCTGGGGCAGAAGTGAAGGACAAGGTCAGGAAAGGTTGCAGGGCTGACCCCTGGGTAAGGGGTGGGTGGGATCAGAGGGAATATGACTTGTATTTTTGAAAAGGATTCCCCAAGTGGCTGGGAGAAAGGGGTTGCACCGACCACCATCACCCCTACTCCAACCCCAGGCTCCAGCGAAGGAAAGCTGAAGCCCTGTATGGTCCTTCATGCCACAGATGGGTGAGGTGACACCAACGTGGTTCTGAACCCGGCTCTGCAGGGCTCTCCCGGGCAAATTTGGCCTTGCGAGGAGGCGGTTCTTGCTGGAGCCTGTGAGCGCAGTTGCATTTGGGGCTTGGCCCGGGGCTCGGCGGAGGTCTCGGCGTCCCGTCCGTGCGAAGGAGCCAGCAGGCCAGAGTGGAGGAGGTGTGGGCCAGGGGGCCGCCCCGGAGGTCCCAGGCAGCCAACCGCCCGCTAATTCAGAATTCCTTCGGCATGAACTGGGGCGTGCCAGCGTCTCTACCCCGGCCCACCCACCGCTTCCTGCCTGGGCGCCCCCCTCAGCAGGGTGGGACACCACTGTCTGCACTCCTGGGCAATGCTCACACCCCTCTGTTCCTCCCTGACCTTTGTCTGGCCAGAAAGGGGACTCTCTGGAGGGGGGGGGGGTTGTGGCAGGGGGTGGGGGTACTGCCCTTTTACCACACCCGCCTGGCCTGGATTCTCCAGCAGCTGCTGCTGCCCTTCGGGCTGGGTGCTGGGGGAAGAAGGGGAGCAAGGCTATACCAGCCTGGACAGGACAGCCTAAGCTTTCTTCTTAGGGCAACCGGGTGTAGCCCCGCAGCAGTGCTCAGGACACCTGGCACCCCCTTCCCGGATCCCGCCATAAAACAGGGAAGACGTTCTCCGGGCTGGGAACAGGCCTGGCACCCTGGAACACCAAGGCAATAGGACTCCAGCTTCCTTCTCGGCTTCCACGAACAATGGGCCAAAGCCACTGGGGACTGGGGCATACACATGCCCACCTTGGCAGAGGAGCAGCTGACAACAGCCCCCTAACCCTGGAGAGGGAGACCCCCCCTTCCTTCCTCCCCTCTTCCGCTCCTTCCCCTCACAAAGCTGGGGCCTAAACAAGTTTCTTTCCCCCTTTCCCAATGCGAAGTTGCTGCCGTTATTAAAAAGAACACCATGTGTTTTAAAAGGGAAAAGTGTGAGATTCCCTGAAAGGCCAGCGGGAAGGTGGCCTCCATCCCAGCCATCCCCCAGGGGTCTCCATCTCCTGGCCCACTGGTACCAGCACACACTTTTACGACCCACCGGGCAGCCGGTCAGGTGCTAAGGTACACGGTAAGTACAAACAGATTGCAGAGGTGTCAGAACCCCTTATTTAATTTCTCTCCCCCTTAAAGGAAAAAACACACGCGCCACCCCCACCCGCCACCTTCGCCTGTTGCTCTTCAGCCCGCCCTGAAACAAAGCTTAGCGCTACTGGTGGCATTCAAAGACTACCCACGGCCTGGCAGAGATACCAGCTCCTTAGAAAGATCAAGGGTAGTTACTCCGTCACCTGCCAGATGCCTTGGGCAAGCTGGAGTGTGGGTTTGTGGGGGGGGGGGCGGGGAGTTGTCCACAGCCAAATAGCACAGGCTACTAGCCTCGGAGCAGCAGCGCAACGCGATGTGGCCTGTGTCCTCCGATGGGGTTCAGAGAGTAAAGTCCTCCAGCGGACTCGGCCAAATGCATGCCCCGGTGTTGACTCCCCTGTGGAATGAATGTGGGACCACGAGTGCGTGCGTGCGTGCGTGCGTATGATTGTGTGTCGAGGATGGAATGCGAGCGCCGCGATGGTGTGCGAATACGCATCTGGGCTGCAGCGCGCATCGGAGGGCAGGGTGACGGGACACAAGCCAGTGGGGCTCTTTTGTGTGTCTTTGGGTGTGTCCCAGAGAGGGTCTGGATGTGGAGACCGTATCCTGGCGGATGTGTGTGCGTTGGGTGATGGGGCCCAAGGCCAGGAGTTCCTCCAGCTGATGGCAGCTGATCCCTTCTGGGCGCCCCTTACACAATAAAGTCTGGGCCCGCGGTGCCCCGACACGCTGGCTCTCGCTCTTCTCACTGAGATTTCAGTCGCTGAAGACTTTAAACCGAGTGCACCCTGAATGAGACTGGTTGTGAGCCCCACCGGTGGAACGGACTTTAGAAGATCCCAAAGCGTGGGGTCCGCTGCAGGGGGAGGGGCGGCGCGGCGCCGGCCCCGCGGAGAGGCACGTCCCGGGGGACCCCCCCTCCGGGCCGCACGCCAGGCGGTCAGAGCAGGGGGGCCCCGATACGGCCCCACCCTCCCCGCGGGGCTCATCACTTCGTGGGGGAGGGGACATCACTCCGTGCCAGCACCCAACCCAACACACCCAAGCGTGCGCCCCCGGCCCGGGAGGCGTCCCTTCCCTAAGATCCAGGACGCAGACGTGTGCGCCTCGAGGCGTCCCAGCACCCTGAAGAGGGTTCCTGGACACTATGATGTTCCTCAAAACGAGCCTGGCCGGACGGCCTTGCAAAAGCGAGTCAGGTAAGAAGGCCTTGGGCACATAACCGGGCATTCTTGGGCCGCTGGGTAGTGGCACCGTGCGCCTCGCAGGTGAGGGCGCCCCGAGGGCCGCCTTCCTTTGTTCCCGGGCCGTCCAGGTGGCGCTCGCGCCCCCTCTTTCCTCCCCCGCGGCTGCCCCCCCCGGGGCACCCGATCCTGTCTTCCCTGGGGAGGTGAAGAGCAGGGTGCACGGTACTCACGGGCTCCAGATCCGCCCCGAGGCACCCCGAGGACACAGAGCAACAGAGGCGACCACAGCGAGGACAGCGGCCTCGGCTGCCGCCGCGCAGATTGGGCGGCGGGGCCCGGGCGACCGGCGGGCATGGGGGTGGCGCGCAGCGGGCGGTGACTGCAACGCCGGGATGGGGCGGGGGCGTCTCTGCGGGATGCAGATTGGGGTTCGGGGCTGCCCGCACGTCGCTGGGCGCGGACTGACTGCGAGGCCGGAGCAAGTCTGAGCAGCCGAAATTGACAAGGCGCTAATGCGCCGCTCGCCCCGCCCGGCCCCGCCCCCAGCCCGGCCCCGGGGGGGGGATGATCGCGGGCCCCCGCACCGGTCTTCCCACCGCCCGCGGGCACCGCGCGCCCCACCCGGCCCGTCTCCGCCCCGCCACCATCCCTGGGCACCTCATTCTTCCGCGCGAAGCCCCCGACTCCTTCCCCACCCGCTCATGGGACCTCCCTCTCCGGCCCCGCCCGTTTCAGGCTTCCCACCGCGTCCTCTGGGACCGTGTGCCCCTAACTCCGTGTCGGTTCCTAGCTGCAGCCCTGATGCCTTTCCAGCGTCCCCCAGTCTAGCCCAGACTTCCCCGCGCCGCCCTCTTACTGGGGGCACCCATACGCTCTAGGGTTCGTGTCCCACATACACACCGAGCGGTCCCTGAACCCATCCCTTTCAGTCCTTCTTCCTTCCGCACAGGTTTTCAAAGCTGCCCCCAGTCCCACGCCCTGGGCGCGCGGGTCCCACCGGTCCCCACCCATTCCGTCTCTCTTCCATCCTCGGTGCACGGCCTCGGCTCGGGCAGGGAATAAATAGAAGTCAGAAGGCACCAAGTTCTCAGCCTTCCGTTCCACCTCGCCTGTCCTCTGTGCGTGCTGGGTTTGGGGATGTCTGGTAGCGTGAGTAGGGAACCCCTATGCATGGGCACAAGGTAGGTGTGTCCCTTGGGGAAGTAGGACCGAACCCCGCATTCCTAGTTCCCAGAAGGGCATAGGTACAAAGGGGTTCTCCCTAGACTTCTTCACACCCCCCCACGGAAAAATCCACTCAGCGGCCCGCGGGTGGGGTGCGCCACGAGGTGAGTAATCGTTGTACGGCCGCCGCCCGCCAGCCTCAGGTAAGGCGGGCAGCCTCGAGCGACGCATAGTTATCTCCGATTGAGCGCTCAGTTCTCTGTGGTTATTTTTGTTGGCCACTGTTGGGGTTAGGGACCCCTCCCGGGCCGGCCCAGCCCTGGCATCTCATCCCCTTGCTCTCCTCTTTGGTCTCCACTCTATACGGATGCCCACAAAAGAGAAGGTCCCTGGCTTGCAAGGTTTCTGTGGTGAGGTGCCGCTTGAAATGGAGTTCCCGGGAATTTCACCCCACAGATTGGGTAACAGTCCCCAGCCACAGCTCAACTCTTCCCATCTAGCGGTTCCCTTGGAGGCTCAACCCCTTCCTTAAAGGTCCCCTAAACAGCCTCAAATGGCAAAGGAGGGAAACACAAACTATGGAAACCACTGCCATTTTCTGGGGGCAAACCAGGTCCTGTGTACCTCAGTTTCTTCTTTCGCAAAATGAATAATTTGGGGACAACTATAAAGTTTACATGGCAAGAATCAAGTACGGAGGGAATATCCAAAACAAGCAAACCTTAACCCTGACGAGCATAACAGGGTGCAGAAGTGGCCCATTGGCCTGTAGGTCCTCTCTGAGAACTGTGACCAGGTGGCCTATAGGGTTATGTAGGAGGTAGTGGGTCTTGGCCACGTTTCCAGGATCATTGCTGCCCCTCCCCCACAGCGCCGGCCACACCAGTTCCCCTGTATAGGTAGGGGGGTCGAACCTCGGCTCCTGGGAGGCTTTTGGAGCAAAGATATTTTTTTTTCCTGAACGCTCCTCCTCCCCCATTCCCGAGTGGAAAGGGCTAGCTTCCCATGTACCCAGGTGCTGCAGGCAGCGACCTGGGAGTTGCGTGACTGAGCACTTTTCCCCCTTCCCACACGGACAATCCATCAGCAATCCGGTTGGCCCTGATTCCAAAACACACCCCCATTCTGAGATTCTGAGCCCCCTCCCCAATCCTGGTCCAGGCCTTTCGTCCTCTGTCCTCTCAGAGATGCTGAGAGGGCCTCCTTGTGGTGCTTCTGCCATCCTGCCTTTGTTTTAATTACAGGCAGAGAGGACTTTGAAAGAAGTGAGAGCCAGCTCTGGCCTGCCACACTGTCCAGCCCACTGGCTGTTTGGGCACGAGTCAGGGGCCTTGGCCTTTTGACTGTGTCTTCGGGAAGACTTCTGTCAACCTTCCATTCAACCTTCCATCATGAGTGACTTTTTTTTTAAATTTATTTATTTGTTATGTATACAATATTCTATCTGTGTTTATGCCTACAAGCCAGAAGAGGGCACCAGACCTTATTACAGATAGTTGTGAGCCACCATGTGGTTGCTGGGAATTGAACTCAGGACCTTTGGAAGAGCAGGCAACACTCTTAACCGCTGAGCCATCTCTCCAGCCCCATGAGTGACGTTTTTGAGTCCCCACTTCTCCAGCCCGCACCTTCACTGTCTTATTGTCTTTGTAGCATAGGCCATCAAAGTGACAGCTCTACAGTCACTTAAGTTCTGAATAACGGAGTCCAGTGAGGGACAGAAAAGTTAAGTACTTACAAAAATGAAAAAGTCTAGCCAAATAACAACAAACAAGCAGCTCCAGCAAGTGATGTGACCCAGGACTTCAGGGTAGGCCAAACATACCACTTTGCTGCATGACCCAAAGTGGCAGGCATTCTTCTCTGGTCTTTGACCTCTGCCTCGTAGATGACCTTTATTCTTTGGGCCAAGGGAGTTGACCTTAAGGTGCACCGTCCGCCCCCTTTCCTCTTGTTCCCATGGAATTAACTCTTTCCTCCCCGGTTCAACCCCTCCTTGCTTAGGAAAGGAAGGTAGTCTTGGTGGACCTTCTGGCAAATATTGACCTAAGTCATTGAAGGTGGCTGGGAATGTAAGAAGGGGTGGGTGGAAGTGTTGTTAGTCCTGAGACTCCACCAGCCTTGGATTCCTAGTTAAAATGCACTCTAGGCTTTGAGGTCGAGGGACAGGATCAGTGGAAGCCAAAGCCTGTCTGAGGAGGGCAGAGCTGCGACCCGTGACCACTCCTCCAGGGTCCCCTCCCCCTCCTGTACTGGGTGGTGCTCTGACTGATGAGTAGTGTAGGTCTGATTACCTGGTTTGGGGCTTGTGGGTGCCTCAGCCTAGACACTGGGGATGCCACGCCTAAATTTTATAGTGTGCTGCAACGTAAGTACCAGAGATGGATGTGGGGCCACCAAGCCTGGGGGTCCTTGTTCCTCTACCCTCAAACTGGTGCTGGATGGTCAGCTGTTTGGGGGAACATTGCACCCTCCTCTCATAGTTTCCCCGTGTCAGCAAGCAGCAGCGCCACCCAGCCTTGGACTCGGCTTGGGGGTGGGGGTCAGTAGGGTCGTGCTGAGGGCGGCCAGGGACAAAGGGCGCTTGTCTGAGGCCCGCCCTGACCCGGGTAGCTGCTTCCCGGACGCCGGGAGTACGCTGATTCACGCGGACAGCGCCCCCCGCCCCCGGCCGCGCCGCCCCGGGGGGTAGGAAGTGGGGGGGGGGAGACGCGGGGCGGCGGCGAGTCAACTTTCCCTCTTAAGCCCCGAAGGAATGTCGGCGGATTTCCTGAAATCCGACCCCGGCAGCCCGCCGGCCGCCCGCCCCTCACCTGGACCAGCTCCCCCGGGAACGCCAGGAGGGGCGCCCGGGCTCACCTGGGAGACCGAGGTCAAGTCCTCTTCCGCTTCCCCCCCAGCGGCCTCAAAGAGCGGAAAAGCGGGGGAGGCTGGAACCAACAAACTCTACTTTCAGCCCTAAGGCTCTCCAGACTGCGACCCAACCCCTCATGCCTCAGTTTCTCCTTTTGCAAAAAGAGTACGGGATGTTCTTTTGCATAAGTCTCCACGACCCCCGCCCCCAACAAGGTCTCGTGTACCCCAAACTGGCCTCAAACTTTTGGCCAACCTCCTGTCTCAGCCTTTCTTGCTGTGATTGTCAGACCCGGCTTCTCTTAAGCCCCTACCCTCCACACCTTGGCAGTCTCTCCTGTATCCTGTCATAGAGACCCATCCCCGGTGCCATTCCGAGTTCCAATGACCTAATTTGGAAGGGGAACAGCCCTACCCTATAGGGTTTTTGCAAAGAAAAATAGTCGTGGCAAGAAAATCTTTGTTGAAAAGGGTGTTTGTTTGAAATGAATGAAGGACCATAATTGCGGAAGGGTTAAGTGCCCGCGACTCTGCAAATGACAAGTGTAAACTTGAATTCAGGCTCTGCCCAGGCATTCGGATGCCAGGTTTCCCACCTGTAAATTGGGGAAACAGGCTTTGTGTTTGGTTTATTGAGCCAGGGTCTCTCTCTGTGGGCCAGGCTGACTTAGAATTCACCTCGTAACCCAGGTTGGCCTTCACCTCGCGGCGATCCTCCTGCCTCAGCCTTTCCGCGTGCTGGGATGATGGACATGTGCCAAGGCATACGACTTGGGGAGCCAGTTGGGGTCCCAGCGTGCAGGGACTGCCCAGGGTGCGCTGATGGGAGGGAGGCCCAGCCTTGGAGGGGCGGGAGAGGGGCCGCGCCGGGATCCAGATGTTCAGGTCTGCCAGGCACAGCCGCGCCTGATTAAGCCACGTGGGGGCCGGCCGGGGCCGCCGAGATGAAAGCGAGCGGCCGGCGGGGAACGGGGCGCGCCAGCCCCTCCTCCCGGCCGGAACCTGCGGCTCCCTGTGACCCGACGACCCTGCAAGCGGCCTCCTCGTCTGCTGGGGCGGAGCGACGCGGCTGGAGGGCCGCTGGCACCTGTGCTGTGCAGGCCAATGGGGCTCAGAGCCCCCGCTTGGGCTCCTGAAGAGAGAAAGCTGGGAGACCTCGGAACCTAAGACGGAAGCCACAGTGTTCCTGCTTGCCTCAAGTTTTCCCATCAGATTGGAAAAGTGAGCGGCTCAGAGGCCTTGCTCCCTAGGGTGGTAGGGTTCTCTCAGGTCTGTTTCTGCGCTGGAATGGAGGGAGGCTACCCTAGTATTGCTCCCTGAAGGTACCCGAGAACTTCCTGGAGAAGGCAGATGCCAGGAAGGTATCTCCCAAGAGTCTTATTTGACTGCTCCTAGGACTCTTAATGACTGGTGTTCGTCTGGGTTCCGCGTCCTCTGATGCTTCAAATCCACTCTGGCTCCAGCCC